TCATGTATTTTTTTGCAATCATTCTGTTTCAGTTACGCATATTTTTGCCAACAAATATTTCCAATAAACTGTTAATTATCGCAAGGAGAACTTTTACCGGTGTGACCTTGCTTATAAATTCCAACTTAATTTTTAATATTGTTGAATACTTTTAATATTATTTGTAATGCCTGGCGAGCTAGTACAAGCTTAGCAGTTCATTGATTTACCAAAAAATAGAATTGACGTAAGTATAGAATGTCAATTCACCCACGAGTTGAACAAGATTCAAGATGGCGTCACATACCACCGTTACAATGTCACAGCTCCCCATAGCAAACATTCAGAATGATGGCACTGCCCATATAGACTGGAAGTGCAACATTTTAAAAATGTCATTTTCCCTATATATGCACAAAGAGCTCACAATATGGTGATTTCATGTTATATCCAATAACATATTGCTCAATTCTAATATGGCTGACAGAGGCTGAGGTAATATTGTTATATGTAGATATATCTGTATATATATGAGAATTTTCTGGAAATTATTACTGTTATAGTGTAATACCTGGCGAAAGTACCAGGATGTGTAACCTTCAAAGTCATATAGAAAGTACCAGGATGTGTGACCTTTTGGTGTCATACAGAAAGTACCAGGATGTGTGACCTTTTGGTGTCATACAGAAAGTACCAGGATGTGTGACCTTTTGGTGTCATATAGGATGTACCAGGATGTGTGACCTTTTGGTGTCATATAGGATGTACCAGGATGTGTGACCTTTTGGTGTCGTATAGAAAGTACCAGGATGTGTGACCTTTTGGTGGCATATAGGAAGTACCAGGATGGGTGACCTTTTGGTGTCATATAGGAAGTACCAGGATGTGTGACCTTTGACATTGTATATACCTGAATGTTGGTGATGTTTGTTTCATCAAAATGTTAATATTGGTGATACAAATCTGTATTTGAAATAGGTTTATTACTTTGTTGAGGTAAAATCTAGAATTTTAACATGTACAGTGATGATATAATATTTTAAATCGGTGTGTGT